GCGGGTTAGTGGCCTGCTTGTTCGACAACTGCCGAACGGGCCGGTGTGCGCACACTGCCCGTTTGCAGTCATCGGAAGCCCGCCCCTCGGGGGTCGGGCTTGTGATGATCGCAAGTACGATCTGCCTGTCCAAGATGGGCAGATCGTATGAGCTTTTAAGTAGCTTACAACCATCGCAAGACAAAAGTCTTGCGATGGTTGTTAGGTGTATGGGCACCTTTAGAACTGAAGAAGCTGCTTGGATAAGCTGTGAAAGATCTTCTACATTACAAAACAAATCCAGATGAATGTGACGATCTTGTACTTGCTATTGTTTAAACCCATTATTTCATATAAACATATCAATGTAAATGTAAAATCCATGTCTAAATTTGTAAAAATAAAACTAAACTGTCTTTGTTGATTTTTGGGACTTTAAGAGAACTTCAGCTAGAAAAGTACTTGGAGTTTTTTTAAATTCTCTCAACTCTATATGCAATGGTAATTGCACCGTTTATTAAATGTGGCACAAGATTCAAAACTCCCCAGGCACAATGAAAATTTCCAAACCATGAAACCACATCATTTTGACAATTAATTTACAAACTACAAATTATGTTAACATTTAAAAATGTGCACTGGACCACACATTTAGTGGGGGTTTTTTAGTTCATAATGTGTTTTATTCTCTTATTCCATTACAAATAATACACAGCTGTTAAAGGGATCTAAATGCCAAATACTAGACTAGTATGCCCATTCTCATCTAGATTCAGTTTTTTGCTTTAGAAATCCTGTGAGTTAAACATGTAAATAGACCATTAGGTTGAATGTTCATGATTTTATAGATCTCCCTGTCATTTACTTTAACAGTTATTTTTTTACATCTTTAAAGTGCAAAACCCTACCATTTGTGCACCAGTGTGGGCTTTGCTGCCTTTGCATGTTTCAGTGGGTTTCTGAGGCCAGACCTGAATCAAACTGAGAATGCTGTGTAGCTCCAAGTACTACTTTTTTACACCCAGGATTGAGCTGTCGGTCTAAGTTGGAAGATACAGGTCCATACCAGTATACATGAATGTGGAAAACACAAACACAATCCCAGCTGTCTACTCTGCATTTGGATGCATTTAACATATAAGAACCCATTCTCTGTCTTCAGTTGCCTTGGTGCTTTGGTTGCATGGCTGTACACATACTACAAAAAGAAAACCAAAACCAGGAACACACAGGCCATGCTCCATGAAAAGTTTGAGGCCAGATTGCCATACAAAATGGATAAATATTTTTTGGTGCGGTACCCCTGGATGGTACACTTCCTCCCCTACCGGTTGTGATCCTGACCTTTTGTACCCTTGCAGCTGTGGCCATTCACTGTCCTGTATGTTACCCTTCTTCTAGTGCCTACTTCCCTCCTTGGCCTCGAGGACTCCCTCTAGCCCTTCCTTCCCAACCCCATGTCCCCAAATCCCTAAGGATCCTGGTACTTCAATAGCAGTCTCAGCCAATCAACTCTGTTTATTACTTTTAGTGCATATAATGTACAGTATGCTTGCCAATTGTTCCTTTCCTTTTCTGGAAAGTTAATGCACCGTTACTCTGGTTATACCATAGCATTTGCGGTTATATTGATATGAAACAGATATTGATGTTATTGGAATCTCACATTTATAAAAGATAATAGGGAATTATTGGAAGAAAAAAGAAGCACATTTAATAGTTTAATTATTTTATTGATATATGTTCACAAATGATGAAAGCATAAATAGACATAAATGCAATGGCCAAAATACTGCTTAACAGGCCATCATAATAAAACTGAATACTTAATTGCTAAGACCTTCAACTTCAGTGGAGCAGTGTATTGAAAGTTTTAGACCTTAGCAAATACAAATACCTGGGAAATGATGAGAGATTGTCTAAACATTGCATTAGACTGTTACCACTCATTTAAAAGGCCTGTCACACAGGCTACCCCATTGTGTGGGCTACACACAGCTAAGATGTCCAGTTCCATAAGCAATCCTTGAAATAATTATTTCACCTTCTCTAAAGCTCAATCTTCTATTTCTAGGTGGTTCAAGCTTAGAAAGCATTTGCAACTTTGTTTAGAAAAAACCTGGCAATGAAATCAATATCCCGTTATTTCAGTCTGTTAATTTAAAGTGCACCTTGTGTCAATTTGTAGAAAACAATATACTGCAGAGGAGGTAGGGAACGTAGGTACTGTCCATGTTTTATTTATACAGGTTTAATGTAAACCCGTTATGAGAAAAATATGGGAACTGTCACTGCTTTCCTCCTGCTGAAAATGTTTGAAGCCAGCTTCCATACTTCTCAGTCCCAGCACGACAAAATTAATGCTGTCAATGAGTGAGAAAAGTGCAGGGATTTCTTAAATCTATACTTGCTCTGGGTTAGTAATTCAGAAAGTAATGGCGTCAAAGCATTGGCATAACAGCCAACATTCTCAAAGGCAGAGGTCAGCAACGGCTGCTTACACAATTTTGTAAGGATCATAATACTTTTAAGTTGCAACCGGTATCAATAACCCTACATGCTTGTATGTATATATTTCCATGGCAACCATAGGAAGCTAGAGTATGGCAGTGTAGGGTGCCACTTGTAGTTAGGTTATGACAAGGTAGAGTCATGGAACAACAAGCTTTGAATGTCCAACTGAAGGACTGAATTAACTATCACACATGGCTCACCTCACTTTCCATTTCCTTTTGCACCATCCATATTGCCAGTATAAGGGTCATTATAAAGGCAAACACAGACAAGTGAATGGGCCCTGACATCTGTGTCATGATATGCAACACTCCAAACAATCTACCCTCCCAGTTAATGGTACATGATACCACTCTAAGCAGACTTACGGCTTACCCTTCTATTCAAACCTAACTTCATAGCATTGCCATAGTAACATGCAAACAATCTGGAGGTAGAGTTTAAATCCCGAGTGCACTTTAGCACATCTTAACACCAAAAGTGTGTGTTTAAAGCTCACAGCTTAGCTGGGTTATCTTTTTATCACATACCCTCTCATTATTAAACAGATGAAGCTTGCGGGAAGCAACACTATATACAAATATAAATAGCCCTCGATAGAATAAAACAGATCACACAGCACAGCAGCTTGTCATTTTCTTATCAGAATTCCAAGATATAGAGTTCTGCATGATTGCACTTCAACATTAATTTGTGGAAATTGATTATTTGTTGTAGAAAAGACAAAACATATAGAGTGTACCAATAAATAGGAGTTGTTTCATTTGTCTAAGCATAAGGAACAGAGCTGGAGGAAGAAAAAGAAATGTGTTCTTCTTTCCACAAGATGGCAGCAGATAAGGTCACGACCAAACAAAGACAGCTAGGATAAGCCAGTCTGGCCTTGTTAGTCCTTTACTGGACACAACTATATATATATATATGTCTAATAGATTCCAGTGTATGTATATTTCATAAGTGAAAAAACAGGTTCAATCTTCTATACCAGAATTCATGTAATTTTCACCGGTGACTTTCTGTGAGCACACAGCAAGCTGACGTAGGGAACGCCGATAAAAGCCCACTTCTCACTGGGCCAGAACTTAATGACTGGCCCCTGCTCAGGGATTTCAGATGCTGCATCAAAGTAGGCAAAGCAGACACAGCCGAGGTAGGCAGCCAGGCAGATGAGAATGTGCCTGCAAGATACAAGAACATAATGAGCTATTTGATCCCTTAAAGCCTTGTTTACAGAACAAGTGCAATATAAAATAGAAGCAGGGTATTTTTTTTTAAATGAGAAGTTGTAATGAGAAAGAAGTAACATGCCATCTAGTATCTGAAACCCTGAAGGAACAGTGCTATTCTAACGTACCTATAATACTGTATAGTATAATAGTAAATAGGGATGTTCAGATACCAGTGCAGATACGTGGCTTGGAAAAGTATCTGTACTTGTACTTGTACCGAGTATGGTACTTGGTATCTGAACATCCCTAATAGTAAAGTATTGCATGGTATAAAATAGGAGCTCCTATTTCAACATAGAAGCATTTTTTTCCTGGTTCAGAACTGCCCAGCTATGTAATACTGTGTAGAAGCTGTGACATTATTATTATTATTATTATTATTATACAGGATTTATATAGCACCAACAGTTTGTGCAGCGCTTTACAATATAAGGAAGACATTACACTTACAATACAATTCAAGGCAAGATGGTAAGTCATAAGTCATTTGTTTCAAATTTAGATGTGTGAGAACCATATAAACCAGGATGTAGGCAACCTCAGCATTCCAGCTGTGATAAAATTACAAATCCCATCATACCTCTGCCTCTAGGAGTCCTATTTGTGCCCGACAGAGTCTTACAACAACTCATTGGACCTGTAGTTCCAACACAGCTGAAGTGCTGAGGTTGACTACCGCTGCTATAAGCACTTAGGGGGGAATTTATCAAAACTGGAGAAGACAGAATGTGGAGCAGTTGTCCGTGGGAACCAATCAGCTTCTCTCTTCAGTCTGTTCAGTTAAGCTTTGAAAATTAAAGCTATTGGTTACCATGCACAGCTGCTCCAGATTGTATCTGCTCCAGTTTCCATAAATTTCTCTCTTAGTGGTTATTTTATTAATTCTACAGTGGGCCAAACTGAAAGGACTAAGGGTATATTTATAAAGCAGTAAATCTGACATTCACCAAACATTTTTCGCAGGTGAATTTTCCAGATGGAAGTGTTTTAAATGACAGTGATGGATTCATCACCAGTGAACGTATGTTGAAAGTTATAGTCCCTGCTTTATAAATATGTGCGGGTGTTATGTATACAGAGGGTCACACCTACTTAATTCCAGGAAAACATTATGGCACTTCATAACTTAACATTATAGTAAACTCAATTTTACAATATGTAATCTCACAACAAGAAGCCATAAAGCATTTACTTAAGTACTTAGTGGTACATTTATGTAAGGCACAGCTAGGGCCACATTCATTTTTCTTTACTTTTGACCACTAAGAGCCACACAGAAGGAGTGTGAGGGCCCACAGAACACCAGTTGGACATCCCTGAAATAGGCCCTATTTATTTGACTACATTCTTAAAACAACTGTTTTGCTCCTAATACTTACCATACACAGTGGAGATAGGGAAAGTTGAAATGAGACCATATTTCACAGAACGCTTTGTCACTAATCCAGCAGACTAATGCTAATGTCCACCAAAAGCCTGACATCAGACCCAACTTATAAACTCGCATGTTGTCACACCTAGAAAATCAGACAATTGGTAAATACACTTTAATATACATTACCATATCCTCAATTATGTATACACACTGAGTGTGTGTACCTTGCTTTTCTCTCTGGCACGCTGTCACAGGAGGCTGATCGAGCGGTGTAGAGAGGAAAGCCCAGCCTTCTGTGACAGCGCTGTCTCCGCCCCCACACCGCTCTGCGATAGGCGGCAGAGCGGTGTGGGAGGAGAGACGTCGGCCGTTCACAGCGCTCTCCACCGCAGCGCTCGGCCGGCTGTCACTTTCTTTTCTCCCCGCTGGAACAGCGCCCAGTGGGTAGAAAAGAAAGCAGGGATGCGCCGATGTATCGGCCGAAACATGGCTCTTTCGGCATTATGCCAAAAGTGACATTTTCGGCCGATATGTTTCGGCGCATGTTTCTTGCATGTCAGTTTTCATTCTGTTCACTACCTCTGAGGTAGTGAACAGAATGACTGAGCCAAATGCTGCTCTACGAATAGATTGTTACTTATAGTTAAGGGAAGTGAGCCGAATGCAGCCGATGTACAGCCGTACAGGGCTGTTGTGAATGGCCAAACAGGCTTCAGCTCAGTTCACTTCGGCTCGGTTATTCATTCAGCTGCCTTCGGCAGCTGAGTGAATAACCAAGAGTTTACTGTTAGATGACTTATGGTATTCAATTAAGAATAATATGTGATTAATATTAATCTGTTTGTTAGATGCTTTGCAATTTAAAACAGCTACGGAATTTTATGTGAAAAATAGTTGATTTGTCTGTAATAAACAATTATAATGTACCTGCCATCATTTTGAGGACGGTCAGATGCATATATTTTACTTTAAACTGTTTTTAAAAATAAATCGCAATATACACTAATCTCATTATACGCTCTCTTACCATCCTGGGTTAAAAATAGTTAAAGACCCTGCTAAGTATTAGCAGATGAGTAGAGGATTAAAAAAAAAAAATAACTGTACACACCACACCAATCTAATGCTCTGCTGTTTTACGTAAGATGGTCAGGATGAAGGGACAGATAGGATTTTGTTGTATGTCACTTTCCAGGAAACTCTAGGTCACATGACAGGGCACAGTGACAATGCTGAAACCACACCATTTATCAGTGTCCGCAGGGTCTTCAGGAAGGAAAATGACATGCTGAGAATTTGATGAACACTGCAGCTTTCTATATTGTGCTTATTGTCATTTTACATGCATGTTTTTAAGCCATGAAACCAGTCCTTTAAATAAAGCCATCAGCCTTATTCTGTAAGGCAAAGGAGACCATAATATTCAGACAACATTAATCTTGCACTGTTATAACATTGGCAATATAAAATCTAATAGCTTGCATAATAAAGTTGCGCTTTAATTTAGAAATAGTTGGTGGAGCCATGCAAATCTTTCCTTTTTGATCCAGAGGTCAGCTTTAAATGTACAGCCAGTTATTCCAGTTTTCATACCGATGGATGTCACTTGCTAGCTGTAGCAAACACATGCAGGAGCAAAAACCACTATATGTATTATATTGCCATCATTATATATAATGATGGCATTATATAGTATAATATATATATATCTCTCCCTCCCATTCACATACCTCTTAAGCTCTGTAATGAGTAGGATTGTACAGGGTATTCCAAGTGTCATTAGAGATATGTTGTTGATTGCAGGCTTGATAAATCCCAAGACTGTTGTAATTCCAGAAATAACTCCGACTACTGCTTTAAATCTCCACCTGCAACAAAACAGGCTTACAGCTGAATTAAACTGATTTTTTTTTTATTTGTGTCACATTCTGTATAAATTGGTTGACCCCCTATGTGGCTTACTTATGAAATACCAAATTAACATAATTTAGATTTTATAAATAAGCTAAAGTTTACAGAAATATATCATTCAATTATAGAGGATTATAAACAAGGAGCGTAAAGGATAATTTACAAAGATGCTACTTACTGTAAATAATAACTGAGAGCAGGACAAAGTTGGAAACTGGCAGTGGGATGATGTGCAATTGCAGAGTACCTCAGTACACTGAAATCTTGGGCTTCTGCTAAGAAAGCACTTAACTATAAGATCCAGTGCCTTCCTAACACCCATAGACCTATGTATGGCAGGTGCATAGGGAAGATGACAAATGGCATCATCAGTAAGACAGTCCAACATGCAAGTTATTATCAGCACACCATTGTAGAAATACAAAAACAGGACATTTATTCACCACCAAGCATTGTGACCTATCAAGGCCACTCAGGACCCTGAGCCATGATGTCACTGGCTGTATGGAGTAATACCTTGCATGTTGGACTGCTTGGAAAACAGTAACTAGATCTTTCATGTTAGTATTTTGAGCTGCTTTTCAGCTCCCCTTTTAGCCACAAAGAAAGCCTTTCCGGCCAACAGGGAGCAGGAAAATTAGAAAGGGATGGACCAGTGTCGTAATGAGAGTTCTAGTCAATGTTTACTGAGGAGAGAACCTCCGATTTTTGTAAGAATTTACATGATTGTTTCCTATAAGTGTTTGAATTTTTAAAAATACATGATTGTCCACACATTTGATACAGGTGGGCATTGAAATCAGATAAAGTCGTTCGGAAAGAAAACAAAAAACAAATTGGTTGTAGGTAACATTGAAAAAAGACTAAAACCTATGAGCATTATGTAGTGCTTTTTTATGGATAGTGGCCCTTTAAAGCGAAACTCCAAGCATATAAAACACTCATGTATGACTTTCAAAAAGCATTAAATGCATTTTAAATATTGTTAGCATAATCTAAAATCAAGGTGTATCCACCTCTGGGTATATAATTGTCAGGACTGTGTAAATCACAAGAATGTCTGCACAAAGTTAGGAATATTTCAGCAGGTGAAACAGCTTTACAACATATAAATGTGTAAAGAGGCCTTAAGCCTAGAAGAGACTTGACAGTGGAAGTGCATAGTATTTAATACATCTACTGGTACAGGAAGTCACCTGAGAAACAAAAAAGCTTTACTCTCAACATTGTCAACTTAGAGATTGTATTTTTGTTTTAGATAGAATATAGGTATAGAAGGGTTAAAGCAGGTTTTCTTCGCTGTCTGTGACCCTGCTGGGAAGGTTCAGCCTCTCGATTGGTCCGGGTGACTTGTCAACAGAACAGAGAGTGATGGGAGATCCCAAAATGTTATAGCTGTCACCAGAACAAGTTAGTGGAAATCTTCCACTAGGCACAGTGAGAACAGTATAAGAGGGGATTTCCCCTCACTTTGAAGAGATTTCCCTCTTAGGTCCTCTGCGACTCTGGGACAGAAAGAGAAGAGAAAACTGACCTATCGGTAACAGACAGCAAGAGGAAAAACTAATAGTGGTTTTACCATTCCGCACTGTCCAGTTTAAAAAAAATGTTTGGACTATAGACACTTTCATCTTAAATACCGTACAGTTTGGAAAAGCTCCTGCAATGCACACATTTATCTGTGAATGTTTTGTGAAATGTACTAGGCAGAGGTCTAAGCAAATTTAGGTGACGTTTTCTCGACATATATTTGCATTTTTCTTCTTACCTATCATGCCGGAAGATCCTAGGCAAGTGCCTTTTTGGAAACCACATTGCTAATGCAGACATTAACACCCAAAGAATGGCCAGCTCGTCCAACATCTGTCCCAGGAAACTCAGTGTTGCATGAAAGTACACTGACCCAATTCCTGTGCAAACAGAAAAACAAAATGTGTTATTTTCTATAATGTCATTTATTCAACAGTAACACAGGTAATTCCTGCAAGATACCACCAATGCACCGAGACTACAAACTAAACCCTACCTACAGCTTCTGAAATACTATCAAACTACTTAGGCATCAGCAATGAAAATGAATTATCCTTATTTTCCATATACACAACCTGCTAGTCTTTTTAGTAGCAGGGCAATTAGAAGATTCACGGGAAAAATGGTAACATGTCTGATCTACTAAACAGTTAACGTCCAGGCAAAGATACCATTTACATGATCTGGCAATATCTGCACGAAGACATGAGCCTGCGGAGCTCTGCCATCTATCTGCGGAATGCTATTGGCTCCAGACTGATAAGGGCTATACAGTACATGACTCTTATTAAGTCCTCAACATGGGTGTGCAAATCTATCTAGATATTCCATTCCTCCCCTGAAGATCCAGAGGGGTGCCACACGGTTCTCCACTTGAAAAGAGAGGATAATCCAGAATCACCACTTCCACCAAGCTCCATCATTTCTTTGCTCTTGCTGTTTGACATCTTGATAAAGCCACACGTTTATCGTCTGACATTATCAGAAGCTATGTTATTGTATTTACATGTTCTACACTAGTCTGATGTGAACATTTTGATAATAGGTTCAGCATTGTTTTGTTCAGATGCTTTGTTCTGTAACATTTGGTATATTGTTCTTGGTTCAGAGAACATTTTGTTTTTACTTAACATCAACATTGGTATATTGCAACTTGCTTGACACTTTTCCCCACATAAGCTGTGTTCCCTTGTGGCTTACACAGCTCCACTAGTGGAGAAAAGGCTAGATTTAGCAGAGATTTACTAAAGATTCCTCTCAATTTTCTCTACCTCTTCTGTCCCTACCAGCAGGAGTCCTCGAGACTGCTGATTGCCTTATCCATTTCTCTCTATCCTTTACACTTTTTCTCTTTCTTCCTACAGTTCTAAATCGCTCCACCTCATTTTTTTTTTCTTTCCCTATCCTATACACATCCCATCTTTCCAGTCCCCTCTCCCATCCATTGCACAGATATCACATATTCCATCTTTTTACCTTCATGTTATCTTATGGCTTTACGTTTACGCATTCGCTAGAGCAGGGGTGTCAAACTCAATTTAATCGAGGGCTGCATCAACATTATGGTTGCCCTCAAATGGCCTGTAAGACTATATAAATGTACCTAATATTTATCATAATTGCCTCTGCATTCGATTATCACTGGTTTTAGTAACTTAATACCTAGATCTGAAAGTAGAAGTCTAGGAAATGGCCTGGTGGGCCGGATTCGGCCCACCA